GCATCCATGCCTATCCTTTCTATCTGACGAAGTACTGGCATTCACATTCCCTCAGGAATCCCAGATCCTGCTGCCCCTGGGTCCATCATTATTCTCACTTTCCCATCATTTACACTTACATTAACTCAACGTATGACCATCTTTTTCTGTGTTTGTACAGCGCCTAGCACAATTTGATCATGGTTCATGACTAGGGTCCTAGGCTGTTATACAAATAAATAATAACAAATATGTAGTCTTGGCACTAATTTTGATCTGCACCGTTACAGAGGTAACCTAAGCTCACAAACTGTTTCATCAAGAAGAGGCAAAAATCCCTGATACGGGCTCTTCCATAGTCCAATAGACAATTGGGTGGTTCATATTTGTAGATGTCAGTGACTTCTTCTTTGCACTGTCGTGGCACAAGACATGCTTCTCTGTCTCCTCTCATCACAGCTACTACACTGAAGCTTATGGACGATACAATGCTCTGGTTAATACAATATACCCAAGCAATGGAAACATGCATACACCCGGCTTGCTGTTGTCATCTGTAATACAATGAACAGTACTGACATCTTTACCGGTGGACAGACCTTCCTTCATAGGTTTGGGATGTTGGCCAATGGCAAAGGTACCTTCCTAAATTGTAGAGGATTTTCCTTTGTGGACTCAAACCCTAAAGCTATAGCTCTTTCGAGGATGAGTTCCTTCGTATGAACAGTGCTCTCTTTTAATGCAGGGTTTCTGGTCTCAAAACCAAAAATGATCTGATATTTGTTACACCTAATCATCAGCACTACTGATAGAGAGGTTGAGAGAAAGACTCTGATAAAAATGACTGTGTTTCACCTATATAGTTATGGAGGCCTCAGGAGTGACCTCATAGTTCAGGTTTCAGAGTAGCAGCCATGTTAGTCTGTATTTGCAAAAAGAAAAGGAGGACTTGTGGCACCTTAGAGACTAACCAATTTATTTGAGCATGAGCTTTCGTGAGCTACAGCTCGCTTCATCGGATGCACTCATAGTTCAGGTTGCACTGAGAGCTGCATGTAAAACATGACTAAAACCCCCCTGTGTCATGCTTTAATGGTAGGATTTAGTCTCAAGATTTGGCACAATTAAATATTTTCTAACCTTTGTAGAGGAAATATTTTTAAATGCTGCTTTTTGGAAATCCTGCACTGTTTACCATAGATCTTTGGGTTCCTCTAGCTAAACTCTGCAAATGCCAAACTTCATGCACACAGGCACATTCTGAACATCTCAGATATAGGCCACATTTGAAATTAGATTAAAAAAAAGTAGTCATGTAATGTACAGCAGCCACGACAGCCTCTGTTAATCATCACAACACATCAGCATATAAGCAATCAACATGATTGGCCTTCAAGGGGTCCTGCTGCTTGTTCAGGATAAGAGTGTACATATATGTGGGTTGTGGGTGGTGAAAGGGAAGTAACTGAGCCCAGGAAGAGGGATGACGAGTGGAATGTTGATATGAACTATTTTCAAAACCAAAAGCTGGCCTCTTTGGCCCATCTCTAACCATATTTTCACACAAAATACTTTGTCAACTTTGCACCAAGTTGGCTAAACTGCATGTCCCAAGTTGAATTTTGGTTTTGCATGACCAAACCCAAGGAAAGCTCAGACCTGGGTACCAATTCATGCCAACCACTGCAGACTTGGACAAAAGGTTTGGTTTGGGCTAACTGCTAAATATAACAGTGCCGTCATTCTACATATTTCACCATATTTCACCTGTAATAAAAAGAAGGATTACCAAGAGGCAAATAATTAATTAAGACTAATTAATAAATAGTTGGTCTATATATTCCAACTATCTAGCAAGTCTGAAAGATCCATTTCACAGAATGGGCAACACCACACCATTCTTTTTAAAGCAATCAGTAATACTGAAAATAAGGGGCTGATTTCATATTTCTAGTTATTTGTTTGTGGGTCTTAACATCCTTGGAGCAGATCAAAGCCCATTCCCAGTGTCTTACACACGCCTAGTTAAACCACAGAGTTTTAACAAAACCTTTTGCTTTTTGTGCCCCTAGCAAAAATATCTTAGCACAAGTGGAAGTACTCTGTGAAATGATCTTGCTCTACACAGATCTAGCACTTCTCTGATTTATTCCGGTCTGTATAGCAATCACACCTAAGGGCTGCAGGGGGAGATCAGGACCCTGTTGCGCTGGGCAAACACAGACTGAGAGACTCCCTAAGCCAAAGAGCTCCCAGTCTAAACAGACAGGACAGACAAAGAGCGGGAAGGGAAACAGAAGGGAAGTGACTTGCTCAAGGTCACACAGCAGTTGGTGGCAGAGCCAAGAATAGAACTCAGCTCTCTTGACATCCTAACCCACTAAATCATGCTACCTCTCAAGATGCAGAACCGTGACGGTCGACACAGTGCCACAAAATACAATCTGTAGGAAATCCTGGAAGGAGGAGGTGGGGATGCACTTAGATTCCCAGGCAGAGTTAGTTGGGTTGGGGAGGGGCAGCTCCGTTATATTAGGGCTTCATCCAAAATGTCATCTCCCTCACCAACTCTTGTTCTCAGTTCCAGTCGGCTCCTGTTTTCCACTCACTCCAGAACTTCCTCCCATGTAAGGCAACAAGAACGGCCAGCTGCCAGCATGCAGGTGTGGGCCTCCTTGTCTCTCACTTGTGGCTCTGCCCCGGCCTCCTCTGACCATGGGCTCTATCCCTGTTGTTCAGGCATAGGTGGCATTCTGAGGACCACTGGAGTACGACACAAAATAATGAGTAGGGGAGCTGGGCAAGTAGGATGCAATGAATGTAAGTGCTACTTCTGGGCTCACAAAACATTCGCAAACTCTTGTGCATGTAGTTTGTAAATGCTTGCCCAATAGTTTGGACAAATAATTTTTCAAACTGCTCAGTTCAGCTAGGTCATTCGCTTTTCATGGCATGGGATTGCTCGCATAGTATGGTTTCTGCACTCTGCTGGCGTGCACTCTGGGCACAAATCTTTAAAGAACACGAGTAATTTTGTAACTATTCACAAAAATTCACAAACAGGGAACAGCATGACCGTACACTGAGTTTGAGTAATTTCTTCATGGATATACTTGCACATCAGTCTTTCCATCATTCAGCTAGCTCTTGCTCTTGCTTTCTGAACAACTTGCACAAGATGATTTCTCTTTCTGACCTGTGTTGGAGGGACATTAGAGGGGTTCCCCTTTGTGCACATTACTGTATGGCTGTCCCAAACTAACTCATTTCTGAACCACACATGGCAGAATCTGAAGAGCAGACAATGAGGGTTCCAGTTCCAGAGCTCCTCTAGTCCGCTAGGGACTTCACTTTGCTAAGTCAACTTCTCCTGGGAGGTGTCGAAATATTACAGTGATGTGAGATTGTACAAAACCCAATGGTAGGTAGATAGAGGACCCTAAAGTCAGAGCCAGCCCTGGGGATACATGCTCTGCAAGGTTTTGTGTGGTGTCTCCCTGAAACTTGGCTTAAACATCAAGGTGACACGTGACTTATTAGGCAGACCTGGCTCTGCCCTGATGCCCTTAGCAGGATTGCTGCATTGAAGTCCTGAAGTTCTGCCAGGACTCTGGCAGAGGAGCGCCCTGCACTGGGCGCCACTCCTCCCACATCACCTATCTAGAGGGGAAAGGAGCAAGGCACAAGAATGACAGAGACAGCCAGCAGCCCAGCCCTCCCACCCAGGATAACCTTCTCCCTTTTCCTGCAGAGAAGAGCAAAGTGAGAGACAGTGGTTCCTGGCCTCATCCCCTGTAGAAGAGTGGGGGTGGCCCCTGCTCTCTGCCTTCAACAGAGGGATGGGGGGGGGGGAAGTGCCTCCAGTGGCAGGGGCTTTCGTTTGGCTGTTTCCCAAAGAATCAGGGTCTGGCAGAAAAGAACTGGGGGAAGAGGATCCATTTGGGCCTGGGGAGGGGAGCCATTTGTGTGTCTGCATGAGGGAGGGGAGTCACTCTGGACCTGGCGTGTGTGTGTGTGTTTGTGTGTGTGGGGGGAATAAGGTGCTGGCTTCCTGGCTTGGGAGGGGATACAGTTGTGCATGTTGGGGAGGGGGGGCTGATGGCTAATGAGCGGGGGAGGGCATGCACTCCCCACAGGTGAGTCGACTACACCTTTGGACGGTATACAGCCACTGCTTAATTTGTAATGAACGAGGGGATGGGCTCGTGCCATTTTTTCACTTTCATAACTGAGGGGGCAAGCCCAAAGGTGGCAGGGCTATGAACTGCCAAGCCTAGAGGTGCCTGGAGGCTAGGAACTGCCAAGCCCAAGATGCTGGGGGGGGGGGGGGCTAGGAACTGCCAAGACCAGAGATGCTGGGGGGGGGGGGGGGGCTATGAACTGCCAAGCCCAGAGATGCTGGGGGGGGGGGGGGGCTAGGAACTGCCAAGCCCAGAGGTGCTGGGGGGGGGGGGCTGCCAGCCAGAGGTGCTGGGGGGGGGGGGGGGGAACTGCCAAGCCCAGAGATGCGGGGGTAGGAACTGCCAAGCCCAGAGATGCTGCGGGGGGGGGGGCTAGGAACTGCCAAGCCCAGAGATGCTGCGGGGGGGGGCTAGGAACTGCCAAGCCCAGAGATGCTGGGGGGGGGGGGCTAGGAACTGCCAAGCCCACAGATGCTGGGGGGGGGGCTAGGAACTGCCAAGCCCAGAGGTGCTGGGGGGGGGGAGGGGGCTAGGAATTGCCAGGCCCAGAGGTGCCGGGGCTCAGCCCTGGCACAAATTAAGCCCTGTGTATAGCCGCCTGGATTTTCTTTCTTTAGTTGCAAAGCGCAACGGGGAAAGGAGGAGGAGGATAACACTGAACACCAATAAATCTATCCCCAGGCCCTTTTCATCCGCGGGCTTCCCCAAAGGAGCATGCATGGAAGGCCGGGGGGGGGGGGAATCTTTTGCAAAGCCGGGGGCATGTGGAACGGGGCGGAGGTGCCCCCCCGCCCGGCTCCCCCCTCCAGCCCCACCCTGGAGAGGCAGGGAACGCGCGCAGGGCGGGCGGAGCTGCAGCAGGCAGGCGGCGAAGGGGGCTGGCCAGGCTGCAGAGCGCCCTTGCGGCTTTTCCTGCTCGAATCTCCGCGCTCCTTGCCCGGCTGCCTCCCCCCGGCCCTGCCATGCCGCTCTCCGGCCCCGGGCTGCTGCCCTGCCCGCCGCCCCTCACCCTACGCCCCCTCTGAAAGCCAGCCAGGATCGGTCCTCTCCCCCACCCCAGCCCGGGCTAACGACCGAGCCCCGGGGAGAGGATGGTGCAGAAATCCCGCAACGGAGGCGTGTACCCGGGTGCGACCGGAGAGAAGAAGCTGAAAGTGGGGTTCGTGGGGCTGGATCCCGGCGCCCCGGATTCCAACCGGGATGGGGCGCTGCTGATCGCCGGCTCGGAGAGCACCAAGCGGGGCAGCATCCTGAGCAAGCCCCGCTCCGGGATCTCCGGGACGGGGAAGCCCCCCAAGAGGAATGCCTTTTACCGCAAGCTGCAGAATTTCCTCTACAACGTGCTGGAGAGACCCCGCGGCTGGGCCTTCATTTACCACGCCTACGTGTGAGTAGCCAGTGCGGGCGCCTTTGCGCAGCCTGCCCCGGGGCCGGAGGCTGGAGATGGGTGGACAGGGGCCAAGCACGGGGCAGCCCGGGCGGGAGCCGATGCCTGGCAGCTCATCCCCCGGGTGGCTAAAGCCGAGCTGCAGGGGGAGAGGCGATGTGAGCAGAGGAGGAGGGGCGAGCTGCAGGGTGGCAGGGTTTAAGCTGCCTTTATTTTTCCTCCACGCTGGCCTGTCTGCATCTTGCAGCTCGGAAACACCCGCGGAGCCAGCCGGTTTTGTGCCTTCCCTTCCTGAGCCCTGGCTGCCCCAATGCCCGGTGCAATTATTAAGAAGGAAGGCGGGGGGGGGGGGGGGACCACCTAAAAAAAAATCAAACAAGCAGCCCTGCAAAATTGGAGGGTCGCTGACCCCAGGAAGTGTGATTGCGATGATGCACATTTCCCAGCCCTGAACCAGATGCAATACAAACCCGTCTGGTTCTTAGGTGAATACACTCGCCTGGCTCCTTCGCTCGTGTATCTGGGAGCTTGCCTCCTCTCTCTGATCACAATGTGCTGTGGGACAGGCTGTGCTCATTAACCACTAGGCTCTGGTTTAGATGGAGCAGTGGCTGTTTTTTTTGGTCCAGCTGGGAATCAGCCGAGCAATGCTGTTAGCAGCAAGGAACAAAAAATCTGACCCAGGCGCTGCTGTCTGTGCTGGGTCTCCCTTCTCTACCCCACAGTTCTCCCCTTCCTCTATCCCCGGCTTTGATTGATCTGTGTCTGGCACCGTTTTGGCCTGTGGACTGGAAGATATTCACGGGCAGCTGCTTTAAAGTAGAGCTGCACCAGGGAAGAAAGGCTGATCAGTGTCTGATTCCTGACAGCAGAGAGAGGGAGTGGTAGACAAAGGAGCAGTCCCAAGGCAGGCGTTTGCACTCAGATGCCCTTTATTAGCAAGGAATGTTTGTATCCCACCGATCAGTTGGACGTAAGCGCAGTTGAGCTCCTGTTGTTTGTGGGAATATAAAGGGGATGCCAAGCTGCATGACGTCCTGCTCTGTTACTGCCGCTCCCTTCCCTCTGGGAGTTTCCGTGGTCCTCACCAGGCTCTTCTCCACACCTGCTGTAAGGCGGAGGCATATGTCTGGCTTGTCCTTTTGTTGTGGTAGGTTTGGGGTTTGTTTTGAATTGAGGGTTTGCCTCCTCCTGACCCTGGTTTTCAAAGTTTTTCCCTTTACGTGATGGCGATGGTACCAAAAGGCGTTGGGAGGTGCATTCAGGTGCTCAGCCATTTTGTAGGTGGAAGCATCTCAGAGAGATCTTATTGCTGAGTAAACTTAGACGATGAAATTCTGGCTCCCCTGACATACATGGGAGCATGGGTGTTCATTTCGGTGGGGCCCAGGTTTCTCCCAGAGAGATCATAACTGAGTGAGAAGCAAATCATGCCAATATATCTCGATTTCTCCATTTGGTCTACAATTAGAATACATGTTACCCAATGTTCAGAGCTGCCAAGCACCTTCGGCTCTCATGAGCTTCCAAGTGCTCAGCACTTCCGAAAATCAAGCTTGTATTTTGTGAACAAGCCCTGTGTATGTGTGCACAGGGTACTTGATTGTTAACTACACATAAAGGCAAAATCAATCCTTAGGGGCTGACTCTGTAGCTGCAATAGCCAGTGTGATTGCAGGGGTCAAGATAAAGATGACAAAAGTGGAATGGGATGAAAGCAAAATGGCACATGGCAGGTTAACCCCATGCAAAGAAGCTTTTTTAGTACAAAGAGGATAGTGTAGCTAACCTGTCTGACTCCTGACCTGTGTGATTAATCCAGACAGACACACAGTCCTGAATTTATCTCCTCAGGGCCCTTTTCGGAAACAAAGCTTTGTAATGTCACTTGCTATTCATGAGGGAGTAATGGAAACATCTCAGATTCATGCAGCTACAAACTTTACATCATCTCTCACGGACCTTCCCCAGAGGTGAAATCCAGCCCCATTCAGGGGACCATCACAAGACTTGTACTACTGAAATCCTCAAAACAGGGCTTAAGCGGTGGTTAGACCTTGTGGTAAGTGTCTGAATTTCACCCTGTATGCTCCAGAAGTGGGCCCCATATCCAGGGAATAAATGTCTTTATTTCCACAACCATGTGACGTACCATTGACCACCTCTCCTGAACTTTTCCCACCTATTCCTCTCTCTCAGGAACACTTCAGAGCATTGCAAACCTCCAGGCATTTTGTTTTTTAAAGCTCTGCCCCAAAACTGTTTCCCCTCAAGCATCAATCAGGAAAATGCGGTCTAAGCGTATACAGCATTCAGCTGCTGGACCAGTGATCATTTCATGGGCCTACATGTTATGATGCTTCAGATGCGTGTTACACAGTACTGGGAAGCTGGCTATCATTCTAGTCTTTTGGGCCATACGTGTACCAGAGTGAGCCCGGGTACGTTGCTCATTTACAGATGTAAAGAACATAATTCACATATAGATGAATGAAAGCCTATGCACCAGTTATGCCCCATTTGTTTTTATAATTATTTATTTGTATTACATTAGTGCCTAGAGAGCCCAAAGAACACTAGTCCCATAGGGCTAGGTGCTGTACCTACATGTAGTGAGAGACAGTCCTTGCTACAAAGAGGCTACTGTCTAAGTAGGCAAAGCAGACAAAGGGTGAGAGGGTAGAGGCACAGGCAGGTGAAATGACTTGCTCAAGATCACACAGCAGGTCAGTGGCAGAGCTGGGCTCAGAATCCAGGTCTCCTGACTCCCAGTGCGGTGCCCTAGCCACTAGACCTTGCTACCTCCCCCGTCAGTTGAACCCTGTTTTGGGAGCACAAGTGGTGCATAGGCCTTTTGCACAGGGGTGATTTTCATCTGCGATGCACATGTGCAGTATTTGACTCAGTTTCCACTGGGGCGGAGCTCTGGGGAGTTTTCATGCGCCATAGTGCAGGTAGTGAGCGGTTCACCCGCTGAAATGAAGGCAGGTGTGTTTGGGTCAGCGATTAGACTCTCAAATATTGTCTCCTTTCAGCGAAACGTCATAACACGTTTGTTTCCTACATTGAAAAAATGCACATGGATTCTGTTTTAAATGCAGGTAGATGCATTTGCATAGGCAACTCTGTAACAAGTACATCTGGGGCACCGCACTTTAGAGTCTGACATCACACAGTGAAGTCAACTATTGTACATCTATGTGCATGGTATGTCCATTTACATAGGCAGGTCTCAGCCAGGATTTTTCTTGTTTTTCCTCGGTTTTGACCCTCACATCTCACACTATGATGATTGTTTAAAAAAACAAACAAAGGAAATTCAGTCCAAAAATGTAGTTAAAACAGTATTGTGGTTAACTATATGAAAGCCTAATAGTTATGGCACAGCAGCCATATAACAATTGGGTCTAATCTGCTTTGTCCTTTGTGCCATTATTTTCTGTTCCACTCCCCGAGCTGTAATGGCATCCTGGGGCATAGCGGTGCTTTGTCAGCCAATGCTAGCTCTGCATGCTCTTGTTGGACCTGGTCTTCTTTCAGGGATGAATTATGGGATGTGGCAACCCACAGCAGCGTGCTGGCGTTCTCTTGACTTTGTGTGGGTGGCTGGTACTTTGGCTTCAAAAGGTCAGATCCCCTGAATTTCCGCTTGGAGAGGTGAGCAGATAGGCTTCCCAGTGCTGGTGATCAGTTTTCACAGCTGATAATTAGCTCACCACAGGAATCCAGGTGAGATGCCAACGGGTCTGCTTCCCTCTGGACATGTGCTGTTGCCCCTTTGTGCCAGTTTGGGGGCAAAAACACACACAATTTTGTGTCTCTATATTGTGATTGATTTTTTGACACCTTCCCCAGGCTAACACAAGGGGTGGCCTGTTCATGGGATATATAATGGGCCTAATTTTCTGACCTTGGCCTTCACTTGTAAACACACAATTTTGCACAAGCTCTTTCATGCACTAACAGCTGAGCATGCAGTGGACAGAATTTTCATGTGCAAAACGGTGTCTGCTGGAGTAAAGGTTGGGTTTTGCCCCAACTGAAAATCAGTCCCATTGTATCTCTGATTTTCATTGGATTATTTCTCTCCTGCCACCTCTGCTTCTCCTGTCAGAGTCTGACCTAAGCAGAATGTGGCCTGATAATGCTTATGTGAAACCCCACTGAAGTACCAACATAGGCTTTTCCTGGGAGATAGCTGGTGCATAGGCCTTGAATTGGCTCTCTGCACAGAGGTGTGTGGGTGGCTGGTACTCTGGCTTGAGGTTGTCTTTCACTTTTGCCTATTTCACATATTTCTTCAAATTCCTCTATCTTGCTCACTGCAATCTGTTCACAGGATGCAATATCTAGTATCCTGTCTTCTGACAGTGGCAGGTGCCAAATGCTTCAGAGGGAATGAACAGAACAGGGCAGTTATCGAGTGATCCATCCCCTGTCGTTCATTCCCAGCTTCTGGCAGTGAGCTGTAGCTCACGAAAGCTCATGCTCAAATAAATTGGTTAGTCTCTAAGGTGCCACAAGTACTCCTTTTCTTTTTGCGAATACAGACTAACACGGCTGTTCCTCTGAAACCAGAAATTTAGGGACACTCAGAGCATGGGGTTGTGCCTCTGAACGTCTTGGGTAATAGCCATGGATGGACCTGTCCTCCATGAACTTATCTAATTCTCTTCTCAATCCAGTTATACTTTTGGCCTTCACAACATCCCCGGCAACGAGTTCCACATGTTGACTGTGCATTGTGTGAAGAAGTGCTTCCTTTTGTTTGTTTTAAACCTGTGCTTATTAATTTCATTGGGAGCCCTGGTTCCTGGGATATGTAAATAACACTTCCTTATTCACTTTTTCACACTATTCATGATTTTATAGATCTCTATCATACCCCACCTTAATCATCTCTTTTCCAAGCTGAATAAGTGGGCGTGCCATGAATTATATAGTGGCATTATGATATTTTGTGTCTCATTATCTATCCCTTTCCTAATGGTTCGTAACAT